TCACTTTATTCATTCCATCCATCACACAATTTCATTTGCACCCATAAAACAACACGGATTATCGCAGATTGAAAATAAACAAAATAATCAAACTAACACAGCAGTTATGTAACAAATATTATGCAAGAATCACATTTCCTCTCGTAATCGTCTTTTTAATGTATCAAATTGAAAACATTTGAAATGATAAAAATGATCATATAGTTGCCTTGAAACGATCAGATTATTGTACGCTTGTTATAGATAGACAATTAAAATAATGAACAAGAACCGATGCGAGAACAATTTTTAGATATTACAATAAGCGAGCTGCATATAACTGCAACCAACGTCTAGTCGATGTATCATAAACTCTAACAAATATACATTTCCAGCAGGATCAAATAAAAATGGATGCAATTCCTGAACACATTTCTCCACAATTTTCAACGCTTGACAGTAACTTGCAAAACGAACTACTCAGAAACGCCAACTTTGACTAAAATAATGTAATAAAGTTAGTCGAACTTCCGCTGACAGACCTCCAGATATTGACTTAATTGTTTCATAAAAACATCAAAAATAACTATGCAACGATGTTTGAGATTCCATTGAAATCAATCCATCTCATCAAGCAAATTAACACATTGAAAACAATATCAAAAACTGGATTATCACCAAACAATAACAGAAATTAACTGGATAACACAATGGATGTTCAAAATGCATCCAGTTTTGATTAAAATTTTGTCATGATCACTTCTCCTTCTGGCGGATCGGCTCACATTTGCTCAGTGGATATTGCTCTGCATGTTCCTGCAGATGCTCATCAAACTGTCGCTGTTGTTCAGCTATGCTCGGTGTTTTCTCCTGTAAACAATTAACTTTACACTGAACTGATGATTTTGAAATAATCGCCATCTTATCATTCCCACACAGATGGATTTCATCAAGTGAGTATCTGCGAAAAATAGAAACGACGATCGAATAAATACTTAGTCAAGCTAAAAAAAACATCGTTGACGATATTCTTGACGTGATACAATCAGAAATATCAAATGAGTGTACACTTAAAATATGACTGATCAACAAAGATGTCTCAATGTTATTTTTATCATCACTCAGCCTGACAATAAAGTGATGATCAATCTAGCATCAGTTAGATGGAATCACACGTGATCTGAGACAATAAGCATTGGTGTTGTAATCCGAATAACTACTGAAAAATGATAACCTTATAAACGTCTTCGAACAGTTCGTGAGGATGCATTAATGGTATTTTTTCAGCAGCACTGAATGCCTTCATGACCTCTCTTCTTACCTTCAAATATTTTTAATTAAGATGATTATACGCCTGAATTTTTATCAAATTAGTCTGGTTTCGCCTGGCTCACCGTTTCCTGGTTCCAAATTACCTGTTGAAGCAGGATTCAGAGTTGCTCATGTAAGTAATTTCAAATTATAAAAAATCTAAAGTTGAATTTTACAAACCTGTTTTTTCCATTTGTCATCATCGTTCGGTGTACACCATCCTTTATCAACCAAATAGGTATGGAATCTAGCGATTGGATTTTCCCTGTCCACCCAAGCTTTCACCTCATCTGCTGATCTGTGAAACAACTCTGTGCAACGATTCATTACTGATAAACACATGCAAATAGCAAAATACTTTTCTGACCGATTAAACAAATCAAAGAGCTAACGATGGAAAACATACCGATATGAAGTGGAGTCGTCCGAAGTTGAATGATGTCCAACTCGATATGTCATTGCCTCCACTAAAACTGGCTTATTCTCCAGTGCTAATTCTCGAGCCTTTTTCGTCGCATTGAATACGGCAAAGAAGTCATTACCATCAACACTGAACTTTTATTTTTTACATTCAAATTCAACACAATTAATGACAGACAGCTCAACGGTGATTTTGAGGAGTGCGTGAAATGCGACATTCTCTTATACGATCGGTCACAAGCACACAGTGGACATTCTCCGTTCACTGACAATAAGTGAATGCAACACAACGAACTTACCGTATCGTATCTATACCGTATCCCAATCCCCTTACCGAGATACCATCACCACCGTATTGCTCATTTGTGGGTGTGCTGATCGCCCAGCCATTATTGCGACAAAAGAATATTATTGGGCATCTCTTCAATGCAATATAAAATTATTATTCTCCCCAGTATAAATATTGCTTCAGTTAGACGATCTTCTGAAGTTTCTCGGTCAACTATGATTCTGAATTTGATTGCTCCTCTCCAATACTACCGTCAATCGAAAACCATCAGATTAACTGTGTGCAAATTCAATCAATTACATTACTGTTTACTGTTAGGCCCAAGCAACTTCAAAGAAAGGCGGTTCAAGCACTTACCAAAGTACTAGCAAAATTGAACGCGGCATGACAGTCGCCCTCAGATGCTGCACCTTCACCAAAATATACAACAACAACACGTCCATTTTCAGCTCTTAATTTCAACTGTATTTATTTGACAGTAAAATATACAACGAAGTAATTTTTTTT